CCAATTAAGGAACACTTTACCTTTGTGGCTGATTTCGTACGTTCTGAAGGGTTTCATGATCTGATTTTTTGTGTACATGCGTCTGTTGCAACATTTATCCATTTGAGGGAAAAAAATTGGAAATGATCCACGCCCGGGGACAAAATCCTCACATCCCCGGGTTTCCCGGCAGAAATCGGGGACGGATTTTACCCCGTTCTTGATCGTACGGCGGTGCTGCGCAGATGAAAAGAGCCAGAACTAAGAGATCAATGCATATTTGGTCCATTCTGCNTTGAGGGAAAAAAATTGGAAATGATCCACGCCCGGGGACAAAATCCTCACATCCCCGGGTTTCCCGGCAGAAATCGGGGACGGATTTTACCCCGTTCTTGATCGTACGGCGGTGCTGCGCAGATGAAAAGAGCCAGAACTAAGAGATCAATGCATATTTGGTCCATTCTGCTCATATATCGACTCCCTGAAAAGAAATTAGGACGAAAAACGTTGCGTAGGTGATGTAATGTCCGTTCAAACAGGCATACCTTGGACCTGGCCGCTACGGTAAGAATTCTCCGCGGGGACCCCAAGGCCATTCCCCTTGTTTCACATTCACCTTACACTTCCACAACGTGCCCTTTTGTGGGTAGGTGTTTTCTATGACAAGGAACGTTGTTGCAAAAAAAAATCCATGCATACCCGGGGACAAAATTGCCATATGTATCCCAGGTTTCGCGGCAAAATCAAGGTATCGCCCCCCCCCCCCCCCCCCCCCCCCCCCCNCCCCCCCCGATCCCGGTGCTGGAGTGCACCCCAAGCATCTCTGCATAGCCCTAGAAACCACCCCAAGCTTCTACTAGGCACATAAATTTGACTGTAAGAAAAAACTATGTCGTCTGGAGCTCATTAGACCTCTTTACATAGACTACATACATTCAAGCACGTACACTGGGACAGGCAAAGAGCAGCTTGGCACTGCGGCAGGACTTCTCGCAGAAAACCGCACCTGGTTCCCACCACTCGCACGCCCCATCGCAAGGTCCTTTCAAGACGATCAGCTCAAGTCGCGAAGCAGCAAAAAAAACAATAGCCCTTCAGGCCCAGGGACAGCATTTCAACGTCCCCGGGGTTCTGGAAACACCTCCACACACCCCATCCCCCCTCCCCCCCGTGGTACGCTCGAAAACTACCCCCGAAAGCTGTTGAAACACAACCCTGGCATGCATATCGGCACCTTGACACTCAATTGACGTTTTCTGTAGGTCTCACTCGAACAAAAAAAAGATAACCGTACAGCATCTAGTCTACACATCAACGATTGGTGTCGGGGTTCGTTGCCGTCCTCGAGAGGAAAAAGGGGCCGCCGGCGGCGGCGGCTGAACCAAGGGAACCATCGCCCCTCTCGGCCGTCCCGCTCCTCATTGGACGCGAGCACCGGCCCCCACCCGCCCACCAGCCCCCCTTTCCTCTCCGTGAGCACGCCCACCCACCCCCCTTCCCTCTCCGCGAGCACCAGCGGGGCGGCCCCGGCGACCCTGCCCCTGGCCGCACCCGTCTCGCCCTTCCTGACCCCCACCACAGCCGCGCCCCCCGACCTTCCGAACGGTCGCGAAAGACTTGGAGCGCTTGGTGAGGCGGGTGAGCCCGCCGAGGAACACGGTGTTCATGCGGAGCCCCTCCATCACCACTCCCTGTCGTTTCAGCTCCAGGAGGGCAGCGTGGCCGAGATCTTTTTCGAGCTGCTTCTTGGAGGCAACGACGGCGAGGTCTTTAGGGATAGGGCGGTCATTCTCCCGTTGCTTCCTCTTGCTGTGTAGTCGGTTGATGGCCTTCTCCACGTTCACCGGCCACAAGCCCGACCCTTTGAACGCCGCCATATTGTTCGCAGGCGTGAAGCTCCCTCTGCATGCCTCCGCAATCACGCCAGCCATGTCGCGCTTCACCGGACTCCTCCCCCCGATTTTCAGTGGGTAGGCCGTGAGCACCCTGGTGAGCTCCTTTTTGAAGGTTCCGAACGTTCCAACGTCCAAGGGCTGGGTGATGTGCGATGTGTGGGACGGGAGCTGGAAGAGGTCGATGTCCAGAGAGATGGCCAAGCTGATGGCGTCGAAGGTCGTGTGCGAGGCGTGGCCGTCGAGCACAAGGGCAATATTGCCCTGCAAGCCGCGTGCATCGAGCTGCTCGCAAAGGTCTCGAGGGTAGTCGAGGAACACGTGGCTCTGGATGAAGGATGACTCCGTGACGGTGTACTTCGCATCGGGGATGCCGTTCTTGTCCTGGATCCAAGCGGGTTGCATACGCTGGCCTTTGTAGATGATGATAGGGTTGTAGGTGTGGCCGTCGGCGCCGATGCTGGCGACCACCGTCGTATTTTCTCGCGAGTTGGAGCGCCTCGCGCCGGGCACCTTGGTGCCTGTTGGCACAATAGCCTTCCCCGGCTTTGTACCTTGCGGGGTGGAACCTACAACACACCGGAGAACGCGCGTGCATCGGGGGTGGAGGCAGTCGAACAATAAGTAAAATACACATAATTTCGCAGCAGCAACGCTCACACACACAAAAAAGCGCGCTTACACACGCACATGAGCGCAGCTCGCACCGGGCGGTGGCACACAGCGGTGGTGACGGCGTGAGCTTGGACTCCGCGAGGTACACTTCCCATGTCTCGTAGAAGGCTTCAAGGCGAGGCTCGTCGTCTTCGTTCATCCGGTTTGCTTCGTAGATGTGGGTGGCTCGCTCCGACAACCCCGCGTGCCTCGCCATGAATCCCTCAAGCCAGCTGACCCCGGGCCCTTGTCTGGGTCCCAGGGCACCTTGCGTCGTCTATGTACATCTTCCGCACAGCTTCTTTCAGCTCGCGCCAACCCAACAGCAAGAAGTGTCGGGAGGCGTAGATCAACACATCTTCTACGAAATCTTCCTCCTCCTTGCACAAGACAGTCCGGGACCAACCCTCGCATCTATGGCCACCTCCTTCTTCACACGGCGGTGGAGCGAGGTCGGGTTCAACCCGTAGGTGTCCGCAGCAACCCTAAACGACATCTCACCGCTGCGTACTGCATCGACAGCCCTCTGGGCCCGCTCTGGGTCTACTCTCGCCCGTCCCACGCTCAGCAGCAGGACCCCAGCAAGGGCCAAGATGGACCACATCAGGGGTGGGTGGGGGCTGTGCTGTAGCTCTCGACAGTGCTTGACCCAATCGGCACGCTGAAGTGCTCAAACGAGAGCTAACGGAAGGCTAAAAAAATCTACAAAAAAAAAAAAGGGTCCCGGCGAATTGTGCGTGGAGATACGTTCGTTTAAAAAAAGTCGGGGTAATACCAGGCTTGTTCGTTGCTTTCGAAATTGCATTAATTGGTCGTATCCCCCCACGCTTGAACAGGGGGGGGAGAGACGAGCGGAACTCGGGGATCTCAACCTATCCTCGTCCACAACACCATCAGGATAAACCAGTCACCGCACCATCAGGCATACTCTCAAAGTCATGCCTGCCCCCTGTCCTCCACAGACTCCGATACATCCATGCATACAACACATACTCCGAAGCATACGAGTCTATGCATAAGAGAATACCGAGCTACATTTCCACAGAAAGGAAATGCAATGAACAGAAACTAAAATTGCCCGGCACCTCAAAGCCCCACACATGTTGTATACATACATGTAAGTACATATGAACATAGACTGGAAATACTCCTAGCACCGCACTCATCCCCCTCTCACTTAGCGCCGGCTGTTAACAACAACTTCCAACTGCGCGCCCACTCCCCCTGGGATGTCGGGTGCTCCCCACACTCTCTTCTCTCCAAATTGCACGCATGTTCCGATATGCCGACCTCAATATACCGCACATATACCACAT